GCTGAAATGACTGAAGACCCAATAATGGAGATTGCAAGATCCATAGAAGAAGAAGAAAACAACTAAGAAGAAATGGTTGGGATAGCTGAAGGAGGAATGATGGAAGGAGAGAGTGAAAATCAAGAGAATGTTGTCACTGAAGAGCTAGGAACAAAAGAAGACGAAGCAATGGCTACAACTGCAAATGAGAATGTTCTGACTGAAGAGCTAGGAACAAAAGAAGAAGAAGCAATGGCTACAATTCCAAATGTAGCAGCAGGAGATGAAAATGTAGAAGAACAAGAAGAAGAAGTCAAGATCACAGCAGCACCTGTGGCAAAAAGAAAGAAAGTCAAAACGGGAGCTGATACAGAATGGAAATTCAGGTCACCATTTCTGAAACATAACCACAGGTTATGCAAGGAGATGAGGAAGGAAGAGAAAATAGTGATTGACTATGCATTTTCAAAGGAAGTTGGAAAGTAAGATATTCTTTATTATATATGTCATTATTTCACTAAATAATTTATACTTTGTATCTTACTAAATTTCAGGTTTTGGTGCATTGTTTAATAAAAATAACAATGATGTAAGCCATGTTATAATAAAATGTAACTTGGTCTACACAAAATGTAAAACAAAAAATTGTGAGTATAAAATGATATTAAATGGGTTTCTAAAAATGTAACTCGCATAAAAAAATGTAACTTGATGTATACTCAAATGTAAAACTATAATTTATCAATCAATTGTTTACTAACATGTGTTATTGTGTTAGTGAAATGTTGTATCTTGATGAGTCTGGACTTTTTCTGAACCATGAGGAGTTCCAAACACTAGAAGAAGAAGAAGACCATCTTGACAACTCAGTAATAGATGCATGGGTAAAATTACTCAATGACAGAGAAACAAAGAACAATCCTCCCCATCGCGCCCTAATACTTTCTAGCATGGTCTATGTATGTATCATATTACTTATACATTGAATAAATAGAAAAACATTCATTATTTTGATTAATTTCCATGGTTGATAATAAACAGGCACAATTTGGAGTGAAATATCCAGACAAAGAAGAAAGGATGGTAGAGAGAATGGAATTAGAAGTTGCTGAAAGAGGAAATCTTAAAGATTATGATATGGTAAAAGGTTATTATTACTGAAAAAGTTAAACAAAATGATTCACTATGAAATAATTAACTAATGAATGCTTTTTATGACTTGCAGGTCTTGTTTCAATCCGTACAATGATTTAATTATTTTACAAACCTTCTTTTCTTGGCCTGGAACACGAAAACCCTCAGGTTGTTCCATATAGATTTCTTCGTCTATATCGCCGTTTAGAAAAGCGGTTTTTACGTCCATTTGATGAACTTCCAAATTCCGCAAAGCGGCAATTGCTAGTATCATCCTAATGGAATTTATTCTCGTCACAGGAGAATACGTGTCAAAGTAATCATGGCCTTCACGTTGCTTGTATCCCTTTATTACAAGTCTGGCCTTATACTTATCGATGGAACCGTCCGGTTTCATTTTACGTTTAAAAATCCACTTGGATCCCAAAGGTTTACATCCCGGAGGGAGATCAACCAATTCCCATGTGTGATTTTTAAGGATAGAATCCACCTCACTTTTGATGGCTTCTTTCCACATTGGTCCTTCGGTAGACGTTACGGCTTCCGTATAAGTCCGTGGCTCATTTTCTACCAAACATGTTAGAAAATCCGGTTCATTTTCTACCATACAAGTTAGAATATTCGAATCAAATTCTACCAAGTATGTGAGAAAATCCGGTCCGAAGGATTTTTCAACTCTAGCACGTTTGCTACGTCGGGGTTCGGCTTCTTCACCGGATCCCTCGCTAGTATTTTCCATAGCTACGTCAAATGTTCGTTTTGACGTGCTAGGTCCTTCGTTGGACTTGCATGGAAATACGTCTTCAAAGAATGATGCATTCCTTGACTCGATTATTGTGTTTTTATGTACATCCGGATTATTCGAATCGTACACTAAAAACCGATAAGCACTACTATTTTGTGCATATCCAATAAAAATACAGTCCACCGTTTTTGGACCTGTTTTTATTTTCTTAGGTGTTGGTACAAGCACCTTAGCAAGACACCCCCACACTTTTAAATATTGATAGGAAGGCCGTCTGCCTTTCCATAACTCGTACGGAGTTTTATCATATTTTTTCCGGGGAACCTTATTTAAAAGGTAATTGCTTGTCAAGATTGCTTCGCCCCACATATTTTGTGGCAAGCCCGAACTTACTAGCATCGCGTTCATCATATCTTTCAATGTGCGATTCTTTCGTTCGGCAACACCGTTTGATTGAGGTGAATAGGGTGCGGTACGTTCGTGTACTATACCCACACTAGCGCAAAAGTCACCAATTGGTGCTTCATACTCACCACCTCGATCACTCCTAACCGTTTTAATCCGTCGATTAAGTTGGTTTTCCACTTCATTCTTATAAAGAATGAATTTATCGATTGCTTCGTGTTTATTTTTCAACAAATAAACATAGCTATAGCGAGTGCTATCATCGATAAACGTAATAAAATATTTATTACCGCCACGTGTTTGTATTGATTTAAAATCACAAACGTCACTATGAATTAATTCTAGTGGTTCCATTTTTCTTTCAACCGATTTGAAAGACGTTTTCGTTAGTTTTGCCTCAACACAAATATCACATTTGTGCTTCACATCAATTGTGAATTTAGGAATGTGTTCCATGTTAATTAATCTACGTATAGAATTAAAATTAACATGTCATAGTCTACCATGCCACACATTGGAAGACTCAAGCAAGTAAGCAGAAGAGACTTTATTATTATTTTTAATAAAAGTCATTACATTGAGCTTAAACAGCCCATCACATGCATACCCCTTGCCCACATACATTCCCGACTTGGACAAAACTAATTTGTCCGACTCAAAAACCATACGAAAGCCATGCTTGTTCAACAACGAACCGGAAATCAGGTTTTTGCGTATCTCCGGAACGAACATCACTTGGTTAAGAGTCATCTCTTTGCCCGAAGTCATCTTCAGGACCACCTTGCCCACGCCTTCCACCGCGGAATGAGCCGAGTTTCCCATCCACACCTTCTCACCATTAGATGGCTCAAAAGTAGTGAATAACTCCCGGTTTGAGCAAATATGCCGGGTAGCACCGGTGTCCACAAACCACTCCTTGGAATTGGATCCAACGAGGTTGACTTCCGTAACCACAGCCGCTAGGATGATGTCTTCATCCTTTTGCCCACCTTGCACCAAATTGACGTGAGAATCTTTCTTCCTCTTTGGTGCCTTGCAATCCGAGGACTTGTGTCCGTTCTTATTGCAATTGAAGCATTTTCCATTGAACTTCGTCTTGGAAACGCCTCCCTTGGGACCGAGCTTGCTCTTCCCATTATTTTTATTTTTGGAGCTTTTAGCATGCTCCACCACGTTTGCCTTGGCGCCGTGAACCATTGGGATAGCCCTTTGGTTCAAAGCAGATGCTCCGCGTTGTGAACTATTGTTCACCGGAGCTCCGCTTTCAGAGTGATTGTCGTTCAGAACATTCTGCCCAACACCAATCTCGTTTTCTTGAGAAGTCATTTTCGTTTTCCTTAACGTTTTTCCGAAAGCCCAAAAAAAGATTTAAGTTCGTTCACAGAAGTGACAAACTACGTTTTTTAAGATTGTATCAGTATGATACAAGCTTAGCAACAAAGTACGTTTTAAGATTGTTGGGTGTGTTTCGGAAAATAAAGAAAATTAATTAAAATAAAATGATAAGAGAAAAACAAGAAAGGAGATGAAGCAGAATTAGTCAAAGCTCGTGCTACACACGATTTCCTTAAAACGTATTTGTTGCCTCCCACGGTGCTAGGAGCGTTGCAACAATCGTTTCCCAGGATACGATGACTACGAACTAATGTTTGATAACACAAACAAGAGTTCCAGCGAACGAGAACACAGTATGAACACAGAGGAATTTTTTAGAATGCTAGCAGTGTGTTTTTAGGGGTGCGAAAGGTGCTTGGAGTGTATGAATTCGTGTAAGAACGTGTGTTGTTGCAAACCACCTGCCAGCCTTTATATATGAGGATTTGTTGTGTGTAAATGGACATGAACGTTGGACATCAATGACCAGTCCGTTGGGCATTGAATCGTCCATGAACTGTCCATTTAACGCTGCATTAAAAGATAAGAACGTTGGGCATTTATTGCTGTAACGTTTCAGAAGCGCGACAGAAGACCTCCATCAGAACACCCCGGGAGGGGTTCTGATCGGAGGCCAATCAGAAGACCCCAACTCTGATCCGCGGCCATCAGAGTACCCCCAACTCTGATGGACGGCCATCAGAATACCCCATGAGGGGGTCTGCCATCAGAACACCAACGAGGTGTTCGTTTCGGGAAGAAAACAAAAATTAATCGTATCTCTTGAGAGATAGATTTTTGGACGACATTCGTGTCCGCAGGTCGCCCGCGCACGCAAGTCGCGGTTTTTCTTCTCCGAATTCGGGATTTGATTTGCACCCCCCCTGCGCGCGTGGAGAGAGCCTTTACCCTTAAGAATCTTAACTCCATAAGGGGGGAGTCCCTTTATAAAGGGTAGCAAATCCCTTGGGTTTTCCGGTGTGGGAAATTAACACACTAGAAACCCATCCTTTTTCCCTTCTAACGGGTAAACTTCGAAAAGCGATTTTTCATTCACCTGTTATCCGTTTTGAGCGTACCATATATCGAATTGTAGCCCTTAACAAGGACAATCCGAAACCACTTTGAACCGACCCAAATCGGAAGTGGACCTCACTCAAAAAATTGCCCCAAAATAGCCATTTAATGCAATTTTTCACACATTTTTCCAACAGTTCCTTGAGTAAAAGGAGGATTAACATTTTGCAAAATAACAGCCTTTGTCCATCTAGACAGTATATAAACTTGAGGAATATATTTCACACAATGGACATTATATATACGCAATATGTGTCTACACAAAATGCCAAGTTCGGAAAACAGCTTACAAGTGCAAGTCACTGTGTTGTCATTTTCATTAAAAGCAACGTTGTGCCTAATCAAATCTACATCGTCCAACCAAACATGATACACATAATCATGACAATTCTGTGTCTTTAATTTAAAAAAGTGTGACATACTCTTCAAATATTATTCCTAGAACAGTTTGAATATCTCAACGGTGTATACATCTCTAGCATGAGACAACATACTATCTTGTAGCAATACCATCTCAACGGTGCCTTCCGAACATCTGAAATCTTCACCATTTTCTTCTGACCTCCACTCATCAACAACATCACCAAACATTTTGTAAAAGTCACACAATGTTGCAGTTTTTGAGAGTCTTCTGGATATGGATCTATTGGTAGATTCACTTCTTTAAGAAGATAGAATGCCGCCAGAGAAATAATCCTTTGAAAATGCAGAACACCACTTTACTTTATGACTGTAGAGCCTTTTTAACCATTTATTATCATTGCATTCATACAATCAGTTCAACCTGAAACCAATTTAAAAACCAATACAAAGATACATATAAAACCAACACAGGTTACACAAACGCAATAAACAAGTTACACGAAATAAATAAGAGGTTACATCACAATACAAATAACTTACTCAGTCCAGTAGAAATCAAACTCTGCAACTGTGTCACATCGTTTAACAACATAATCAAATAGAGGAACAAAATTTATCTTCTTGCGTAGAAACATGATGTGTTTCTTTGAATTCTCATCTATATGCCAAGTGCATAGTCGATGTCTTGACTCAGGGAAAACTGATTTTATAGCTGCTGTCATGGAAAATGATTGGTCTGTCATAAATGAGATGGGTTGTTTACTGCCCATAGATTTCAGAAAAGTCTGAAATAACCAAACAAATGACTCAACCTTTTCATTCAACATAAAGCCACAACCAAACATAATATTCTTACAATGATGATTCATACCAACAAACATACCACAAATCATGTCATATTTGTTAGTCCTGTAAGTTGTATCATGCACAACTAAATCACCAAACATCTCATAATCCGATCTCATTTGCCCATCTCTCCAGAAAAAACAACTCAATACACCTTCATCTACCTCAAAATCAAAGTAAAAATTTGATTCCACTTCAGCCCTTTTCTTCAATATAGAAATCAAAGTGTTAGAATCACTACCATCAAACGTTTTACTCCTTTCAGATTCTAGAACGTTATAAGCATCACGTTTGGTGAAACCAAGAGCACTAAGACCACCTGCATGTGTTTTGAAGCATACGATGTGTAACGCCCCTCTCAGGGTTAAAGGAAAAGTTACACTAACTCACTACTTTTAAAAATAAATTGTTATATAACGGCCGTTGTTTAAGAAATAACCCTGATAAAATCTCAAATATAACTAAAATATAACTCCAAATAAAAATTCAATAAAATCTAGTTATCACTAGCAAATGTGATAACCACCTGGATCCAGGAATTTATTCAAACATCAAATCCTCAATCAAAATAACTTAATAATAATCTCTTTATTATAATACTGAAATACTGAAACGAAACAATAACTAGCTAGAAGCCGCCAAGGTCGTTCCCGTTAACTCATCTTGGCACACGTTCCACTCCCTCATCATCTTCCTAGGCCTTGGCCTTACCTTTAGTATCTGTACATGCGAGGAAAGAACACTGATAAGCTTTACGCTTAGTAAGTCACTATGGATCCACAAAAATATCTGGAAGTCTATGTCAATTTATCAATAGATAAATTTAGGCTATAAGCATGCACTGAACAAATAACTAACACATAACTTCTCAATTACATTCTGAGTGAGATCTCAAAAGGAAAATATTTTCTAAAATAATTTCTCAAAACTGCTGAAGAGATCTCAAAATATCTTTCTCAAACAGCTCTGTAAAACTTTCTGAAAGAGATCTCAAAAACGTCTTTCTGTAAAACTTTCTGAAAGAGATCTCAAAAACAACTTTCTGTAAAACTTTCTGGAAAAGATCTCATAAACTTTCTGTAAAACTCTTTGTGACTAATTTTACTGTGGGCCCGTGATATGTACTCAAAGGCACCAATCCGACAGTTTAGGGGAGCGACCCACTAAACATATCGGACTCTCTGAAACTGATAAACTGATAACTGATAACTGAGGGAACTTGTTCCCGAGTACATATCACCTGATCTTTCACTTTAAGTATTAGTTCTTTTTATGATGACGTTTGACTAAAAAAACATCATTAATTCTGAAAACAAAAGTACTAACAAATATTGACTATGCCAGATAATAAACATAACTTAATCTAGCAAATAACATAACTCGTCACATAATTCACATTGTTCACATAATAGCAAATAGTCTACAATTATCTATTAAAAATCAACCAGACTTCTTTCTGGCATTTGGTTGAACAAACATGTACAAGTGGTAGTGAACTTACCTGTTAGAAGCTGAACTCAAATTTCTCAACTAAGTGTGGCACCTTGATAACGTCTTCCGGTAAGCTCTTCTTACAACTCTTTAAATAAATATAAAAACATATTTAGATTTTGCTTTCTTTCTAAGAATAGCACTGCCAATCTAATTTGTTCTATCAAGAGAAACTATTTGAACGGATGAGATTTTCTAACTTAAGCTCCGTAGCTGGCAGTCTAGCAACCCATTAAAACAAGCCTTGAGTTAAAATCCATGTTTTTCTTTAGGAACTAGTCATTCAAATTGATAAGATAAATCCCTTTTAAAATAGAAGAGACCCATGCTAGTGCTGCGATGAACTCCTTTGGTAATCAGTGCAAAACTCTTTTTTTTTTTATAATTTTAAATAATAAGAATGTGAATTACAATACAAAACCAAGATTTTAATGAAGCTTTAGTGCCCAAAACTCAAAGCTGAAACCAGCAATGAAAATCAAACATAGCAAAATTGGATTTAAAGGAAGAAGTCACGCATCTGATTTTATGAGCAACAAGAGTCCATGCTAAGAATCAAATATTTGGACTACAATCTAATTTGAAACTAACGCAGTCACAACTTAAACTTGAACAACATCAAATTGTAACCTTTTAAGTTGAAACGGGAAAGATGAAAATCTACTGCATCCAGTTTATTGAATGAACAAAAGCACCTTTTAGATTGAAGTATCAGATGGAATAAAGGAAAAACTTACTGATTGGCAACTTTGGTTCAAGACAGAGATGAGGGAGAGTAAATTCTTGAAGAAGGGGAGTGTTAAAAGAGAGGAGAGGTCCGACTCCGGTCCCCAGTAGGGGTGGTTCGGTACGGTATACCTTATATTTTTTCTCATACCTTTGCCGTACCAAAACTTTCGGTATGCAAAATTTGCATACCTTTACCTTACCAAAGTTTCGGTATACCGCATTTCGGTATACCGAAGTTTCGGTTCGGTAACGGTACGGTATCGGTAAATTACCGTGCATGTCTCCCAATACAAAAAATTATCATAGACTAACGAAATATACTAAATCGTTATTACTAGCGACATGTTAAATCTATTATTAAAATGTTACGAAATATAATTAATAATCTATTGATGTCAATTCAATATTGAACAATAATAATTATTATTATTAGTATATTTAAGCAGTTTAACATGCCCCATATTAAAAAGTAACACATCTCCTAAAATAACTTGAACAATTATAGATATAATTAAATCAATAGTGATCTCTAACAAAAATAAATAAAACTATTCAAACAACATGGATATAAAATCATTTGTTCCTAATATGATATTGTGTATTTAGTCATTTTTATAATTTTTAAAAAATTGAATAAGACTTTCGGACAAAGTTGTGTGTCTCGACTCGCGGAATCCTTATGTAGATACACTTGTCACTTGTCAGATAAGTGTATCTCTCTTCACTCGTCAGCTACTCAGCGGCCCAGTCATCATGATTTGCAAGATCTTGGAACAAGATGGACTTGTTTCTTGACATTTGCACATTACTCATTAGTCATTAAGGTTAGCGTAGTAGAAGCCTATAAAGTTATATTGGGTTTGAGAAATTGGGCCTTTATTTTTGTAATTTTGTATTTGTAACCAACTTAAGTATTAATTTTGGACTCTAAAAAAAGTATTAATTTTGGGCTTCAAAATTGTAATGGATTTCTACAATATATTAGAATTAAAAGTAATTGTTGAGTAGGGAGTCGGTACGGTATTATACCGGTATACCGCGGTATTTGAAAACATTTACCGTTACCGTACCGAAATAGATCGGTACGGTATGATACCGTACCGAAAATGACGGTATACCAATATTTCGGTATTTTCCGGTATTTTTCGGTACGGTAAGTGCGGTATACCGATATTTCGGTATTTTTGCCCACCCCTAGTCCCCAGTCTCCAGGGAATGAAGGATAAATCAAGTTCCTCTATGAAATTTCAGAATTCGATCAGGCTTACGGGGTATTAGACGAACATATATAGTTGTGGATCCTCTAGGGCTTTAGTATAAAAGAGATTTATTTGGGCTAAATAACTGTTTTGGGTCTCAAAGTCTTCTAAAAAATGCTTCTAGTTGTTCTGAAAATAGAATTTTGACCCGATTGAAAAAGTATTTTACCAAAAAAATACAACGGATAACTTCAGCAGATTTTTTTTTTTAAATTCCTAGAGCTTATCGGTCAACGTTATCTGCCACAAAATGATAAGACAAGATAAAATAATAAATCATATTATTCTCAAAATAAATTATTTGACTAACTGAGTAACTTATTTAACTTATCTAATCATAATAAATTCAAGATACTCATGATCAACACCTCGATGTGATTTCAGAAGGTGTCTTTGACCAATTGGACAAAAAGAATGGTTGTGATCAATAATATTCTTTGAAAAAGTCCATTCACCTTCAATACTAATAGAAAACTGCAGCTTTGCTTTACAACCTGAACGATAATCTAATTTCGTATACATTTTGTTTTCAGTTCCTTTTTGTAGTTTCTTCCCTTCTTTCTAACAACAATAAGACTTCATAATCAAACTTACATTGCCACTCCTAAACCTCTGTTTGTATCTTCGAATACCAAAGCCATTTTCAAAAGCATGAGTGTTGTAAAGATTATAAGCATCCTGTTCAGATTTAACACTGACTCCAACAAGTGATTTACACTCAGTTGCCTTGTCAACAGTTGTCAATGTATCTGACAAATAACAAAGTAGGTATGTGAAAAAAACCACTATACAAAAGATACATACAATTAAATTCAAGTTACACACTGTTGAGCATAAGTTTCATAAACTTGGACTAATGTTACATACAACTACATATAGAGTTACATAAAAAGTTAACTGAAGCCACATACAATAATTGCATAGTTTTGAATGAAACTTAAATATATTGGACATAAGTTACATGGACCTAACCTGAAGAAACATAAAACCACACAAGAAGTAACATAATAATAAAGTGTAGTTACATACGATTTACAATAAATTTCATACACTAGAAATAAAGTTACACAAAAGTCACACAAAGTTACATAAGCTGTAGCGCAAGTTACATACGCTAATAAAGAAGTTCCATAGATTTGAATATAATTTATATATTATTGAATATTAATTGTATACATGTAAACCAAAGTTACATAAATCTAAGAACTAAATTACATAAAATCAAACAAAAGTTACATACAAATGAACTAAAATTACATAATATTGAGCTAAAAACAAACAAAACAAAAATTCAATCACACGACAGAAAAAGTACCTCTACTGAGAAGATGCAACAATTTAAAAGCCCTTTAACCAGTTTCTTCTTCTTCCGAAAGGAAAAAAACAAAATCCAACAAATTAAATATGAATGAAAAACAATCCAAATTCTCACACCATAATATAAAACCGAGAACAAAAGATATTATAGCATAAAGCAAGCATAAATAAGAGAAATTAAATTTACAAAACTAAAAAACTGTAATGTTTACCAATAATTTCGACATTAACCGGCTGATCACATTCAAAATTATTGTCACCGGATGAATGAATCACGTTGGCATGAATACTAATAGGAATAGAATCACGAAATTCAATCGATGAATTCACAACAGCTGAATCATCTAGCGAGAAATCCATTGAAGGCAGATCAGAATCGTAAGCGCAGTGAACACAAAGAAAAACGGAAGAACGAACTCGGCTGCAACAGAAATTCGAAACACGAGTAAAAAATACGGACTAAGAACCTAATTTTTTAATGAAAAACGACACCGTTTTGGGATCGGCACACCATGCGTATGGTGGGGCCGATCCCACAGTATAATTTGCGGCTTTGTTTGGGCGCTTTCCTTTCCTGTTGCAGCTAAGTCGAGTGTTGAAGCTGAAATGTATGCTATGCATACAACATTTTCATGGGCTTTAGAACAAGGATTTGGGGATATTGAGATTGAATTGGATCCTTTGGAAGTTACCAGGGAGTAGACCTGCACAAAACCGGGCCGGCCCGCCCAGCCCGCCCGGCCTGCCCATATAAATGGGCGGGTTTGGACACACAGTTTAGCCCACCGGTCCGGCCCGGCCCGGGCCCGTTTAAATTATGGGCGGGCTTGGATTCTAATATAGGCCCGGCGGGCCTAAAAGCCCGGCCCGTTAAATGTGTGTGTGTATATATATATATATTATATAATTATATATATAAATTATATTTTATATATACACACAAAAAATTACTATCATTAAGGAAGGCCAACATGAAACCTTAGCCAAACTACTGCTATTAGATTGGACCAATAAAGTAGTACTCCGTATTAGTTAAAACTTGAACTGTTTTGTACTGGACACCTATCAAGTCTTTTGAGATACTTTTATGCTTTGACTATTCTCATTGCACATTCTGATTGTACTTTGAATTATTGTTTGCACATTGTGATTAAATTTTTAAATACTGATGTTAGTTCTAAATTTGAATGGTTTTTATTTTTCAGAATCGTGTGTGTATTTCATAAAAGTATTTTACAAACATTTACGATTTTTAAAAAAAAAATTAGAAAGAGGATAATTTTTCCGGGCCCGAAAGCCCGGTGGGCAGCCCGGCCCGCTCTTTTGGGCGGGCTTGGACATATGAGGAGGCCCGTTGTACCGGGCCGGGCCCGCCCACTACAAATGGGCGGATTTTTTAGAATAAGCCCGGCCCGAACCCGCGTTTGTGCAGGTCTACCAGGGAGATTGAGATGGGAAATTGAATGGAAGATGGAGAGACTTGGTTGAGGAGGTGCACAAATGGGCGATTGAACATGGATTGTCTTTCAATTCGAACATAATTTTAGGGAGCAAAATTGGCCAGTTCACTACTTATCCGGATTTAATCCTGATGCCAGCTCACTGCACGTTTATTATTTTATTAATGATTTGAGTAGTATTATTAAAAAGGCTTTACACACTGATAAATTTTGTCTTTATTATTTTTGTTATTAATTTTTCTTTGATGTATTTAAATTGGGTAAGGTTTGGTCCCCACGATTTTTCTTTTTATTTTCCCTCATTTATGTTTATTGTACCTGGAAGAGGAATGCCTCTTAGGGAGAGGTTTTGGTCTGGTCCCCCCCTTTTTTATATGTTCTCTTTGTTTTCTAATAAAACTATGGCAAGTGTTCACCGATATTTGCCCCACCGATTTTGGTGGTTTGCTAATCGGGTTAAAAAAGTCAGATTTGCGAATCAAGTTGAGCAAAAATAATTGTTGAGATTAGAGGCGAAAAACTGACCTAAGATTTGTAGTTTAAGAAGCACCACAAACTTCTTTTGAGAAGACCTTGTACAGAAAAGTAGTATCAAACTAGAACTATAAATTGTAGACTACATCTGCAGTATTAGATTAAATTAGGATTTAGGATTACGTATCCAATAAATGTCACTCCCTCCTCCCCCTATAATTGTCCCATTTTTTCATTTTTTGATGTCTTCCTATTATTGTCTCATACCATATGTGATAACATTTGTGTGGCTCTGATTCATTCTTATTTTATTCCCACTTTATCAACTCATTATTAACCACATAATTCTAGTTTTTTTAACGAAACTGGCTTAACTTATCATAACAGAACGAAAGCAGGTTACAAAGTGACAACAAGTCTTCTGTCTACCGTCCGCCCTAGAACTAGACTTTGAATTAACCACCTCTGTAGAAGCAATATAATTCGCTGATCCTGCTTTGGGCTTACCCGAGCACATGACTTGCAGACTAGACTCCTCGTCTCCTGTCCTAACTGATGGTCCTAGGTAAAGTCTAGAGGGGGGTGAATAGACTTTTAAAATTTTTTGCTTTAAAGTCTTGTCCCTCTTTTTGAGTTAGATTCTCAAGCCTTTAGAGAGGCCTTAGAATCAGCAGCAGAAGACCTGACTTTTGAGAGAGACATTGTGAGATTTGGACAACACACTTTTCTGGGTTTAAACTGGAGAGATCAGCTGACTGCCAAAACTATGTTTTCAGGGAGCTGTTTTCTGGGAATTGGTTAAGGCTTATTGGTAGTTTCTTTAGTGG